TCAAGAAGGATGTTATGGTCGATGGTGTCAAAAGCCGCTGAGAGATCCAGCAGAACTAGGAAACAGCTCTCACCTTTGTCCCTAGCCTGCCAGAGATCATCGGCCAGTGCGACCAAGGCAGTTTCAGTCCCATGATGAGGCCTGAATCCCGACTGGAAGGGATCCAAATGGATCCAAGGATTTCAAGAAATGTGAAGTCCTTGGTTATCACTTTTGAAAACAAAAACAAGAATCAGACACTTCAAACAAGATGATTTGGGAGAGAAAGCATCACCCACCATTCCATGGGAAGACTAACAACACACCATCATCAATAGTCAGGGGTGAAGGCGCTGTCCTAGGTACTGAACTCTATCCCCGAGGAAGATTAAAACTATGAAAAAACATAGTAGCAATCTCTTGTATAAGCTCTTGTAATTATGTGACTCCTGAATCTGTAATATATCCTTGAAAGTACCAGCAGATTATCAACATAGGCAAGAAGCCTGGAATCACTGGGAAAGAATATGGCCAACTGTCATGGCTGCTTTAGTTGAGATTCCTTCATTGCAGGGGGTTGGGCTAATGGCCTTTGATACCCTTCCAACTCTTCAATTCTATGATCATATGAATAATAGCACTTCATGTAATTGTGAACTCAGGTAGTGAGCGCCAACAAGTGACTGTAGTCATTTAAAAATGAGGCATGTATCAGCATGTTTGAGGAAACTCTACAATATAAATATATATTTTAAAAACTAAGGGGGCAAAAAACAAAAACAGAACAGCTCTTTGAGACTGAGCATGCTTAGTAGTCATAGAACATTGAGAACTTCTAGAGGGGTCGCCATTATAGTTTGTTGAAACAAAAGCAACAGTCTTGTGGCACTCCAAAGACTAACAAATTTATATTATCGGATATAAGATTTCATGTATCAAATTGACAAGCTGGTGAAATGCCAGGATGGTGGCAGTATCACCGAAAGTGCCTCATCAATTCTCATTGTGACTATGTTGCTTTTGCACATTTATCACTATTATTTTTGCGTTTGGTTTCCCTCTGACTTGACTGCTCTCCATTCCCCATGCCCCATTGTGCATATATATGCCTGCCAATTTAGGATTAAACTTCATGCATCTGGTAAAGTGGGCTCTGGTCCAGGAAATATTATGCCTTAATATTTTGTGACTTTAAGGTAGCAGCTGGAGAAGAAAGACAGAAAACTGGGGAGGGTGATGGAATGGTCTTCTGGAGGAGGCAATGCCTCAGCCTGGTTGGAATCCTGAACAAGAGCACATCTAGCAGAGGATGAGGAAACAGCACACCATTTTGTTGCATGTCCCACGGTAATAACTTGGAATGAACCAAGTACTGTTCAAATGTTGGATCAGCTGCTTATTCATTCACAGCAAAACCAAGAAAAACAGGTGATGTTACAGGTCTGGGCTCCTGACTGTTGGCTGTTCTCCTTTACCTTTAAAGCAGGGACAAGGAAACACAGGCCTAGGAGCTGTGTGTGGCCCTCTAGGCTCCTATGCCTACTTGGAACTCAGATAGTCCACTGATGCTCAGCTGTCTATACCTGAATAGTTCCTGAATACACTGGAACTTTACCAAACTTCTGAAAACATGCTTTCCCCCTGACCTCTCAACTAGCTCCTTTTTGCTATAAATGAGTTTTCTGCTTCTAATAAAACATTGCCCTGAAAAGGTCAGTTAAAAGAAAGGCCATATCCAAAATATACTGAGGCTGCAATCATTTTGCGTGGGAAGAAGTAACTGCCACAAAACTCAGTGTGACTTTCTTTGGAGCAGGCATATATGGGGTTGTGCTGTCAGTCATTCAGTTAATACTACCTTGAGGGTGACCCAGTTCATTTTTTCTACATGGTGATTATTTTTATGTTGAAAGTATATGTTAATTAATGTAGCATGGCGCAAGAGCTTTTCCTACTCCCCAATCCTTGTCTACATGATCTAGGGCAAATAGTTGCTCACCGACACTTAGATGGAAGCATGTCATCTAGCAGTCAATGTGATTGGCACTTTTACACATTAGCAATGTTGCGATGTAGAAGCCTGGTTACAGAAGAGTGAAGGGCTTGTTTGTTTTTTGCACATGTAAATTTGTAATTTAGACCTGTGTTACTGTAGAAGTTGTGGGTGGGTGTGGGTGTGCCTGTCTGTCTTAATTTTTCTAAACTAAGATAGCAAAAAACCCAGAACAAAATGCTCCTTTAAACTACAGCACCAGTAATTCCATGCAATTTTATAATTTCAGAATAAGGAAGTAGAGAGTGGTGTAAGCATTAGAAACTGCGAATTCTGGGGGCAGTAGGGTTTTCCTTAATTGTTAACATCCCCTTAAAGTATCTCAAGCCTCACCTCTCATCTCAAGAAGACTATGTGCTTACAAACAACAAGGAACTTGCTTCTTAACTAGAAGCAGTTCTAGTCTGATTCCTGCTGGCAAAAGTCTAACTTAAAGCACAATCTCATTGCTTTGTCACACATACCTTTCTCTTAAGACAAGGAATTTTTCTGATCTACAGCGGCACAGGTGCTTACTGTAAATACTAATCCACAAATAACCATGCAGACTGAGCCACATGTTTTCTCAGAAGTCCCACTGAGTTCAATGGACTTTGTTCTGAAGCAAAGGCTGTGAACAGGATTGCAGCCTGAGGTTCTGATCCTTCCATGCTATGGTTAGGTGGTCCTGACCCCGGTGTGTATATTGGGCTGGGTTTTTTTCTTTCTTTTTGGAAAAACATGGGGCTAAAACAGGACCGATTGACCTTTCCACAAGAAACTGGCCCTTAGCTTACATATCCTTCGGATCCATTGATTTCTCTTAAACACCATATTATCCAGAAACGTAATTCATACATAACATAAACTGCATTCATACAAGTAACTCGAGTCATGCACCCAGTTCCTACTGGGAAGAAAACAATGGTTTTCTCTTGGCCAGAAAGAAAAGAAATAAACAATTTATTAAATATACTTCTTTTTTTTTTAAGGTCCCACCCTGTTTAGTGGTTCAGCTGGGAAGTTACTCCTCTTTAAGAACTGAAAATAGAACCGATCCTCTTTTCACTGATCAGGTGCGGATTGAGCAGTTTGGTCTAATGGAGTTTCTAAGGACTGTGGAGAGCCGCGACATAAGGACCAGTCAATTTCTTCGGAGTCCTTAAGGAAAGCCAAACTGAAATTGTACACTGCTTATATATCTCCACGCACACCTTATCATTATGGTTTCTAGGGCTCTGTGGCACCAGCCATGGGCGTAACCAGGGTTTTTGTTATTGGAGGGGGTGGGCCTTTTGTTAGGGGAGGCAGGTCTTTTGTTAGGGGGGGACCGAACCTCAGTTAACTATGTGTTTTTATTGATTGGGGGGCAGTTGCTCCTCCCTCCCACCCCACTTAGCTACGCACATGGCCACCAGCGATCTCAGAAGGAACCCGGTCGACACGATTTCCTCAGAGAAAATGAGGTTAGGATCATACCCTTATTGGCGATTTCCATGTAAATAATCTCCGCATCCCGCCCGCCCCTCTCGGTTCCCGCAGCCCCCAATCCACTAGATGCCCTTCTTTGTTATTTATAGTAGATAACAGACGCTGGAATCGTTCCTTGGTGGAATCCCCCCGCCAGCAAACATGGGGAAATTGATCACAAGACAACTTGCATATTGACCAGTAAATACAACGTATTGGGTGACGAGCCATTCCTGTGGTTATTATGGAGTCGAAATATTTTTTTTTAGTCAGAAAGAAAAAGAAAACAGGAAGAGAAAAATGCAAAACAGAACCCCTCCCTTCATATCTCCAGTACATATTTCGATGTACACACTGGGCAGAAATAGTTTCAAAATGAGAGTTGGCTGCAGGACCCCCTCTAGGCAAGGCTATATCTCTTTTGCCTTTTGCGCAGGAGTTGACACTGGGTGGGCGGAGGGGCTTTCTAAACAGAAGACGAAAATAACAGCTAACTCTGTCATAGCATAGATATAATATATTTCACTCTCACCACATAAATACAAAACAGCCAAATACCCAAAACATTCAGAACAAGGGCTATTAGTAGCAGGGGGAGCTCATCTTCACCCGCGGATTCATTCATTATTTTCATCACTAGTTGCCTAGAAACTTCAGACGTAAATAATTTACAATAATATTAATAGGAGGGTTTTCCGTTTTGCCCCCGCGCGCGTTCTCTCCCGCTCTCTCCTTACTCTTTCTGTCCTAGAATTAATTCTATGCACTACATCAACCATTCCACTTTTTTTGCCCCTCCCCTTTCCTTTTTTAAAATTTTTTGGTTAAAAAGTTTGGTGGCACATATTTTATACAGTCTGTAAACGCAACGTATCAGATGATTGTTTAAAAATTAAAAAAACCAACTAGCTATGTAGTTTTGTTTTGTTTTTCCTGACAAATTTCAAGTCCTGGGATTTAATGTAAATAATAATAATAATAATAATCCAGGAATACATACATTGTGTGAAGGATGGGGGGGAGCAAATAACAGTAAAATAACGATTGTTACAGAATCGTTTTGGTTTCTTTCCAGTACAAAACCAAACCGGAGAAGACGCGTTGATTGGAATTTAAAGGTAAGCATTTTGTAAGAAAATAAATTGGAAGGTGGTGAAAACTCGAGGCTTCCAGTTTAGGTCCAGTTTATATGGGGAACAGGCAAATAATAACGTTGGTCTTAGACGCCTTCGCATCTAAGACACACTCTCTCTCTTTTACCTGCACTTCATAATCTTCTTTATTTTATTTTAGAGATTGGAGTTAGATTCTGGAGGAAAGGGTATTGTGAGGATTTTCACAAGATCGGTCCCGCCCTTAATTCCCCAACACAGACATGTACAATTTAAAATTAAAGTGCAATCCTTTACGCACTTACCGGGCGTCCCAGTGAAGAGGGACTTCTTAAGTAAGCATGCTTAGGATCGCATTGCGCACCTCAACCCCCTTGTTCCGGTGATCTTAAATTTTCAATAGGGTATTTTTTTTTGTTTAGAATAGGGAACTGGAAGAGGAGGAGGCGGAGGAGGCATGTACCTTCAGGACGCTGCATGAGAGCAACCCCTGGACTTGTTATCGTCTCGGACTCGCAAAAGGGAGACGCCTTTGAAATAAGAGGCGTGTTTGAAGAACCAACACAATGTGGAGCAGCCAAAAACATGGCCTCCCAGTTGGCTGTATGAGCTTCTCTGCATGTGTAGGACACACGCACTTTTAAGCTCCTATCCAGCCTTCCGCCTTAAAAAAAAAAAAATCACCTCCTTTTCCTATACACTCCCTTTAAAATGTAAAAAGTTGGTGCTTATCATAGGGGCAGCCAGACTGAAGTCAACAGTGTCTCCTTCCACTATTCGCCCCTCTCTGCCATAGTCCCCCTCCTAACCCCCCAACCCCATTTCTAACATTAACGTGGGCCACCAAAGCGACAAATGTCTGGCTCGGGGAGGGTTCCACCCTCGTTGCCGCCGATCGATTTGTTCCACCGATTGGAGGCCTCCAGTCAAATCTGTGAGGCCCTCCGTTTGGGAACTGATGGGCTGGCAAGGTAAAAGTCGGGGATCCCCCAGGAGGCAAAGTTGTGCCTGGGATTGGTGGCTGGGGAAGACGGCAGAGAGAGGAAGAAGAGGAGGAGGACGGTAGAAGAGTCTGTGGGGTGCGATGGGAAGAGGAAGGTGGGGAAGGGGCCCCTATGGTGTGGAGGGTCTTCCATAAATAACCGTCACAAATAGATACTATAAATATAAATACAGCGCGCGTCGCCGCGCGTCAGTCCAGGGCCTTTTTCTCGACGCCTTCTTTATTGGCCGTCCTGGAGTAGGGCTCGAAGGCCGAAGAGCTCAGGTATCTAGCGGACAGTTCTTGCAAGTTCCCGGCCAGGGAGCCGGCCATCGCTAAAGGGTTGGAAAGCCGGCTGGCCACCGAGCCCAGCAGGGTGGGCACGGGCAGGCTGAAGAGGTTGTGGCCCCCGGGAGGGGACGGGTGCGCCGGGCCGGCGGCGGCGCTGCTGCTGACGGCCGGCTGGTGCGGGGAGCCGCCCGCCGTCGCGGATCCCGAGCCGCCGGTGCCGCTGGCGAGGCTGGGCGCGCGCAAGGCTGAGCCCAAGGCGCTGGTGGCGCACGGCGGCAAGAGGCCCGGCAGGCCCGGAGGCGAGAGGAGCCGCCCTTGCTCCAGCAGCCTCAGCACGCTGCACGTCGCCGCCGTCTCCGACACCACGGATTTCAGCTCGGAGTCTTTGCCTTGGTCCTTCTTCTGCTTGGTGCGTCGGTTCTGGAACCAGACTTTGACCTGCAAAGAGAAGCAATTGGGGGTTGGGGCGAGGGAGGGAGAGAGACAAGGTCAGCGAGGGAAAACCACGGGCAACTTTAGGATCGGGGTTGGGAAAGCTAATCCCCCCCAGACCACCATGGAAAAGCTCTCCAAACTCCCTTCACCTCTTTCCCCATGTGACTGGGCCCTGAGCTCATCCTGTTTGCTTAGCACTTGGGCGAAAATGGGGGGGGGGCGCTTGGGCGCGCGTGTACGTGGGAGAAGAGCGCGCGCCTCTGTGTGTGTGTGTGAGAGAGAGCGCGCGCGCAAGAAACCGACCGTGTGTGGCCATCTGAAACGTGATAAGAATCGCCAAGCAATATTGGGCACTTAAAAGTGTTGCTGAAGTGGCGGAGAATTGCTGAAATAACAAAGAACTCTCGAGCACCTTAAAAGACTAACACGTTTATTATTGTGGAGTCGCCTTTCCATAAGGCGAGAGCGCCTACCATTTCATCAGGTGCGTGAAGTGGACGGGAAAGGCATTGGAAACTTATACACAGAAGGATGAGGCGTGGGCGTGGGGCGGAATGGGAAGGAATCGCTTTGACAACGCGAGGTAGGTGTGTGTGTGTGTGTGTGTGTGTGTGTGTGTGTGTGTTTTAAAAAAGAATTAAGTAGAAACAGGCCCCGGTAGCGAAACTTCCATGGAGAAGAAAGAGCACCTGGTTGTCAATAATAAACCTTCCAGAGCCGGGAATCCACCAGGATCTTTTCCAGAAAGGAAGCTTTGCTTAGAGAAGAAGAAAATCCCCAATGAGTGATACTTCAGTAATGCCTCAGATCCTACACTCTTGAAACTCTGTAGTACAGATTTAAGGTTTTATCCTTTTTAAGCCTCCCTCTTAGGCCTTGAACACAAGATTTCTGTGGGACGTCATCTGAATTTGCAACTTCCCTTCCACTTTCTTTATCTCTGGGAGCCTGAGGTTTTCCTAGCGCCTGTGGAAGCGCACGCAGGCTGTATGTATGGATAGACAGACGTACATAGTTTGCGTTGGATTTTCCCGTCAACATCTTTTGCGTGCCGAAGGGAGCTGGGAGAGTGTTCTGGGCAAGCGACTGCCAGCTCTATTCCCCATTTTTCGCCCCCAGTCTTATAAAGAGACACCTGCAATCTCTTCCCCGCCCGCCCCCGCCCCCCAACGACTTTAGGTCTGCTTTCCACCATTTCAAATATTATTTCACTCAAATTAATATCACATGCCACGCTCTAGCCTCGGAGCTTGTTTCGTTTGTCATACCAACATGGCCAAATCTGACAGCCAAAGAAATGCTAATTAGCTTGTCAGAAGGATTCATTACAGTTGTAGGATCTTTTCACGAATTAAGAAACCACTCCCTACGACACTTGGGGGTTTTTTTGTGTTTTGTTTTTTTGCACTGATTCTTTCTTTCTTTCTTTCTTTCTTTCTTTCTTTCTTTCTTTCTTTCTTTCTTTCTTCCCTCCCTCCATAATACTTGTATCAGACGCTTCAGTTAGGAAGAATAAAATCACACCTCCCTTTCTCCACATTTTCGCACTTTCTCCTCTTTCTTCCTGCCCCGGGACCCATAAAGGGACGTGCACATCTTCCATCACATCTTTTGCACCAGCTAATCAAGTAGCAACAAGACTTAAGCACATTTTCAAGGTGGACGCAGAAATAAGCATGGCCTGGACACCCCTGTTTCTGGCTTGGAATGGTTTTTGAGGCGCTGGGAAATCTGAAGGTTCCCCCGCAAGCATTTCCCTATAAGCATATAATTATTCCCTCCCCCCACCACCACCCGGCCTCATCCTATTCTCTTTTCCTCGGGCTCTTCTTTTATTCAGTAAGTCTTCCATACAGTATTTCCTTCCTGTGCAGAAACGCCTTCTCGCCTCCTGCGCTATACACAGGGACTCTCTATACAACCACAAGGCGAATGGGACCCGCCCTTAAAACTCCCCCACTTATACCCATTTTGTAGCAAGTGGTTCTAAGGCTGAAGGAAAGGGAGGGGGGATTTAGGTTTAAAAGTTGTAACAGGCCCGTTGAAGCGGACCTCATGCTTGTCAGATTCATAGTGTACGTTAATTAATTAATTTGAAAAAAGCAATGTTTGACGTGAAATAAAAAAATACTGGCTGCAAATCTCTAGCTGTGCCCCCCACCATTTTGTTCGTTTTTTGTTTTGTTTTTATAAATTACAACAAATGCTTCCGATAGTCAGCTTCCTTCACTGCCGGATTGCAGGAGTCTGGTGAAAGCTCATTTCAAGCTAAACAGACCCAGAACCTGATCTTTATGCACACATGCCGTTGAACTTCTTCTGGGTAGGATTGCGCTCTGCAATCTTCCCCGTGCTTGCCTGAGAACAAGCCCCGTGGAAACCGAATGGAACTTTACTTCCAAGTAAACATGCGCGAGAGGATGGCGCTGCAGAAGCCCACGTGGAAGCTTCTTGCGACTAAATGCAGCCTGCCCAAATAAATAAATGAATGAACCCCGCCATAATAGAAGAACATGGTGGAAAGGGCAGGGGAGTAAGTGCAGCGAAGAAGCATTGCAGTGGTGTCTCCTACAAAGGGGCCTGCGTGGCCTGCGCGCTTTTTGCAAGAGAATCGTCCTGCGGAGCCTCCGGTCTGAATCTCCTGGGAAGTAAATGGTCACCGAGAGGCTTAACTCCGCATAAAGGTACCTTCAGGCAGATTTTATTTTAGCAACGCACACACTCAAATCCAGGGACGATCGGTGGCACTTGGGTTGCAACCCTGCGCCCTCCTTCAGCGTTAACGCATTTCCTTGGGAGCGAGTCTCATCGAAGTCAGAGTGGGACTTACTTCCAAGAAAACCGGCGCAGGTTCAGTCACCGCGACCTCTCCCGAGAGAAAGCTCTTTGGGACAACAAAGGCGGTGGCCTGCTGAAAACTCCGCTTGTATCTTTTCCCGCAATTCTCGTAAAAGAAACAAGATTGGATCCTGACTCTGGTTGAATCAATGGAGCTCTATTGCTCATATCACTACTGACCACTGACATTAAATGTGGTCAGATTAAAACAACCCCTTCCCTCTCCCTTCTCTGGCTGGAAAGACTTTTCCTTCCAATTCTAAGGCACCCAAAAGAATAAGTCCCAATGAACGCAGCGGGACTTACTCCAGAGTAAACATGCGCAATTGCTGTGCTGTCAAAGCAGTCCTGAAGGATAAAGGTATCTCCTTAAGCGCTGTGTCTTCTCCTATCTATTTTGCATCCCTTTTCTGTATTGGAAAAGTTACTTTTGTGACTTATTCCGATCCTATTCCCGCTTTTTTTGTACTTTTTCCACTCCACACACTTTTCGCCTGTTCTTCAGAACCCGAACTTTACACCACGGGAGGCTGAAATCAATTCCCATTTTCCTACCCACTGCAAATGAGTTAAGGGCAACCGGTGTGCAGGTAACTGGACGTCAGCACCTAGGAGTGCAGTTACGTCTAGAATTTTTTAGAAGTATTTCTTTAAAAACACGCGCACAGCAACCTTTAACTCACTTGCAGGGGCCTGCCAACGATTTACAGCACACGCCATGTTCACTCGGAAACAACTCCCATAAATCGCCCTTCATTCCACGCAACTCTCTTATTTTTGAGTATCTGTCTTTCCGTCTAAGCATTTAGGCTTGCTTAGAATTGCAGCGTCCACACCCTCCAGGCAGCTCAGGCCTCGACCAAACTGTGAAATGCCTCCGACCTTGAATCTACCTACCCCCTTTTTTTAAACGTGATGATAGACGTATGTTTGTGGGTGCGAGAGCGGAAAGCGAGGGGTCTCAACTGTGCTGGTCCCGCATGGTACCAAACTATGATTCAGGAACCTAGCAGGGAAGTGAAAGTGTCCGGAAAAGTCATTTGTAGTCCGGATCTGGGAAGCTCTGGGAAAAGCGTCTACCTGCCTGAACTCGGGCTGGTTCTATCGATTGGTCACAGCCATGCAGGGAGCCACCCCAGCGTTAGGCTTTATTATGTTGTAGCAAGTTAGTAGACTCCCCCCTGCAGCTTCATAACCTGGGGTTGGGGGTTGGGGTTGGGGATCGATCCTGGCTCCCTCCCGTTCCAGCGCAACGGCGCTGGAGTCACTGCGTCACCTACCTCTGAGCGCAACACACCCGGGATGTTTGGGGCGCGGCGGGGGGAGGGGAGGTGCCGCTCTCTCCCTTGGTTTCTCTGGCCCATTTTGTACCTGAGTTTCTGAGAGGTTGAGCTGCCTGGCCAGCTCGGTCCTTTCCCGTCCAACCACGTATTGGCACCTCTGGAACTCCATCTCCAGCCGGTAAAGTTGCTCCGCCGTGAAAGACGTGCGGGTCCTTTTGGGTCGGTCCAGATCAAGCCCCTTCGGGAGGATAATCTCTCTTATTGAACCTTTGGCATCTGGCAAAGAGAGACAGAGGCACGTTTAGACCCAGGAGGAGGAAGAGGAGGAGGAGGAGGAGAACAAGTACCCATTTTCAGGACCTGCACCGAGAGGCAAATGCATATCGACAGAGCGAAGCCTCATCTGCTGGTTTAGCTGAGGCGACTCTCCTTTCAAACCAGAGATGGAGGAACCTGTGGCCCGCCAGATATTGCACGACTACAACCCCCATCGCCCCTGACCATTGGCCTGGACTGGCGGGGGGCCGATGGGAGGTGGAAATCCAATCACACCTGGGAGGCCACAGGCTCCACAACCTTGATTTCTATCCGGAGGCCCTTAAAATAGCAGCGCGTCGCCTATAAATAAATACCAACTTTCATCACAAGACAGGGGACTGGGATGGAAAGATACAACAACAACGACGACGACAACGACGACGACAACAACATAGGCTGGTTTAGTGTAAGAACCAGCTTCGTCCAATCAGCAGAGGCCTAACAACAGCAACTCCTTCTTAGCATTTTTTGTCTTTGCAATGATATGATCATATTTGCTTGGCCTGGCTTTTTAACCACAAGGCGAGGACACATGTTAACCATATAAGGCCGCCTTGAAGGCCGGCTTCCGGCTCCCCCTTCCTGTTTGGAAACTGGCAGGCTCCCCCCCCCCCGCGCCGCCTCTCTGAAGGACCCAAGAACTCTTTTTCCATGTAAAAAGCCTGGTCCCGTTTTCCCTGCCCGCAAAAGCTCTCCACAGTTTATGAGCACCTCCTCAATTCCAATTGCCTTCTCGCTCATCCAGCCTTGCTTTCCCACAATTTTCCCATCTCTAGTCTCGAAGCCTAAGGAACTCCAGTTTTGTTTTGTTTTAAACTGATCGCTTTCCAGGGGGTCCACCGATCGCGCCAGGATTAATTATTGTTTACCGGGCCCTTTGTTCTAGGAGAAGTTTCTCTTTACGTTTATCACACGCAAACAAACTTTGGGAATTTAAATCAGACACTTAAAAAGAATGTTGTGAAATTATTGCATTGGCGGACTTAGAGGGGCGGGAGGAGAATATTCCACAAAGGAATAAAATAACAAACAACCCCCAAACAGTAGAGTTAAGGGGAAGGTTTAAACACTGAATCAAAGGAAGGCGTTTATATGGGTTTGCTTGTTTTTTAGTTAATGTAAACTCTGTGAAAATGATCACAGTTGGAAAGGAAACTTTACACCGTTTTTGGTTTTGTTGTTTTTTAAAAAAAGACCCTCCAAAATACTCAACCCAGCCTTCGGAACGGATCCAACCTAAATAAACACCGCTTCCCGTTGTGGCTACGTATAGCGGGCTCCAAAGCAAAATCTCCCAGTCCCTCGCCAAAATTTAACAAGAGTGGGGAGAGCATAAGGCTTGCAGAAACCGAAGCACCCTTGCTAGATACGGAGCTTTACCGCCCGTCTACCTTTTAGCCCCTGTCGGAACAAGGGCGCTTCCCCCGCCCCGCTTTTTCCTTTTTTGACACGTCAAACGAGCAGCCTTCCCCAAAGGCAGCGGGCAGCGCAATCCTATACTTCTGAGTATAGATGCAAGTCCCATTAGGTCGGGTAGAGCTCACTCCCAGGTATCTATCTATCTGCCTGTCTGTTCAGCATTGCAACGCAAAAATAAACCAAGAAAGAAATGCCTGCAGGGTAGAAGCCAGGGCAGAGAAGCAGCAGCCAAACAATTAAGCGAAGCGACCGCGAGAAGTACGTGGGGAAAGGAAAGCTACGAACCCCCCCCCCCCAGCTGAGCTGCAAGGCTTGGGATGCTGAGCTATGGGGAAATAGGAAGTCTCCCAGATCCCCGCAAAACTAGATGCCCCCAAATGCCCCTGGAATTGTGGAGAAAGAAATAGCTCTGCAGAATAAATAGATAAAAAGGAAACATTGCAAAATCTTGGCTTGAAACAAAAACAAAACAAAAGCAAGAATCCGCTAGCGGGGATTTTCCAGGCGCAGACACAACATAAAAAGGGGGAAAAAAATAAAATACAAGCAAACTCCCCCCTACCTCGGACTAGTATTCTTCTGCAATAATCCGGGTCAGCGGAACTCGATTTGTTTTTGCTGCAGTCTTCCGAGCCGCCAGAAGACGAGAAAGTCCCTTGTGGATCCTTCAAAAAAGAAGTCGAAATATTTCCTTCGCATCCTTTGCTTTCCTTGCCCTCTTTATTGTGCCCGTTCTTGGAGACCCGGTTGGCTTCGATCTCAGAATTGCATCTAACGTCCATTTTGTCTTGTTTCCCAAACATGTAGTGCAATATGGTTTTTTAAAAAGTAAAAAAAAAAAAAAAAAGAGGAGGGAGGGAAGGAGGGAGGGTAGGTTGGAAGGGGTGGGGGGGTCTGAAGCAAGGGAAGAAAAGTCTGCGTTGGGTATTGCACGGTTCGTGGTCAGGCCGGCGAGTAAACAGCCAAGTCCCTCGAAGGCGAGAGGTCGGTTCTTCTGATCGAGAGGCAGGCAATCAGCAGCTTCCTCCGTCCCAGCGTCCTAGTGCGAGTGTCCAGCTTCCCTGCGCCCCAATGATCAGGTACTCAACAGTGCAACTCTAAAATGATTTAATGCCTCCCTTATTACAGAGAAGGGGATGTGGTTGTTAGACACCCAGAGGGACGCGCACTCGCTGTTTCAATTGATTACGGGTAATTTTGCAGCCTCCACATTTAGGTTACCTCATGAATACACTAAATTGTTTGGATAATATATCACATCGTAATGGGTGGTTTGTATGCTTGTCCCCAATCAAGTCGAGTTTAGCCAGTGAATAAACTGAAATGATTGGCCTTGCTTTCAGGAAACACACAATCAAACGACTGAGACTTTCCAGAAGAAGAGGGGGGAGAGGAGAGGGGAGGGGAAAAAAAAAAACTTTTGACAAGATTCAGCCTGAATTGTTAGGAGCCATTAGCGGCCATTATTAACTTTCTTCAGTTTGCCTTTGACCCTTCCAGATTACAGAGTGGTTTTATCCGAGGAGGCACGCCTAATACGTCTGAATTAAACGGCCAAGGAAACAAATATAGATGCGGAGTCCCTGGAAGCTGTGGGAAAGGAGTCTCGGGTCCTCAACAAATAGCCACCGCCAAGTCACCCCACTAAAGGAATACCACCAACAACTAAAAAGTAGCCATTTTCCTTGGTGGGGGATTATAGTGATCCAAGAAAGCAGATGTGCCTTCGTGCCCCTTCAGCCCCCACCCCCACCCATCGCCAGCCAAATAGCAGAAATCCTACTTAACACTTATCTCCACAGCCAGCCATCTTAAAACTCCTACCTCTCCTTAATTCAGAGACTTGGCTTGGGTCCACTCCCTCCCTTCCTCCCTTCTAATTCTCTGCACCTTCACAGTGAACAACATTTGCAGAGCATACTCCTAGACTGGTGTGTGTGTGTGTGTTCAAAAAGCCTCCTTTGTATTTAGAGAGATCCAGGAGAGAGAGGGAGAGAGGGAGAAAGAGAGAGAGAGAGAGAGAGAGAGAGAGAGCAGGGGAGATCTCAACTGCGTGATCTACTAAAGGGAGGAGAGAAGCCCCCCCCCCCCCAGCTATTTCATTGTCTCTGCTACAATATCTTTGAGAACCGCAACAGCCAGTAATCCAATAAGACCATTGATTAGGCTACAATGATTCAATTCAAGCGCATGGCTTTGTGCAGAGAGCATGCTTCAGCCTTTCTTGTCACCTTGCAGGGCAGAAGCCCTCTTCATGCTGCTCTCCTTATTCATGCCTTTATGGGAAATGTAGAGCGAAAGGAGTGAAAGATGGCAATTATCTAATTGGACTATTAACAAACAATCCTCTGAGTGTGGCTGTCTGGCATTGGTTCTTGGGCTGGGTGAAAGGCCACATGTTGCACTGGCCCCATTCACAAAAGAGTTCCAGGGGCCAGGCTAGAGAAAGAAAGCGAGGGAACTTTTCACACAAATCCAGGCATTTTAGTTAGACATCCTTCCCCACCCTCTTAGGCTCCTTGCTTGTGTCTTCTAAGGGGGGACTGGAGAAGGAAGGCTTTTAACTTTCTCTAGCTAAAAATGACACTACAACGGCAAAACAAGAAACAAGAAACAGTACAGAGGGGGCAGCAGTACTTGGGGGGGGGAGGGGAGAACCCCAGCTACACCCAAGTTGTATATTTGAGCTTTGCAGGTCAAAGCAGGAAACATATGGACATACTCTTGAAGGAAAATGAACCTGAAAAAAAGGAAAACAAGGCATAGATCCTCTCAGCTGGGCTTTTTGTGTGTCAGGTTTGAGCAGCAAAAGCAAAGAACATAATAACACAATAAGAGACCTGCTGGATCAGGTCAGTAGTCCATTTAGTCCAGCTTCCTGTCTCATAGTGGCCAGCCAGATACCCATGGGAAACCCAAAAACAAAACCCAAGCACATCAGCAATCTCCACTCCTGCGGTTTGCAGCAACTGGAAGCACACTGCCTCGACCATGATGGCAGAGTATAGCCATTGTTGCTAGTAGCCATTGATATATTCCATTAATTTCTCTAATCCTTGTAGAAGGAAGGACCAAAACTCAGTGGTGGAGCATCTGTGCTGCATGAGGAAGGTCCCAGGTTCAGTCCCTGATAGGATATCCAGGCAGGGCTGAGAGAAACCCTGGCTGGAACCCTGGAGAGTTGTAGTCAGTCAGTCAGTCAAGAGCTAGTTGGACCAATCGCCTGGCTCAGGATGAGACAGCTCCCTGGGAAAATCAGAAACCAGTGTGAGCAATCTTTCCAAAAAGACTGCAGTAAATTTATACAATATTTGAAGGACAACTGTAAACAATTAACAACACTAGCAGGGTTAATATAAAAAGACTTGTAATGTTAATGATTAATACTGTACCTTTTTATATTTATTTAAAATTTGTGATAATTGGAATAAGTGAAATTTAAATTGGAAGAGGTACAAATGCTATGACATGGAAATGAATTATGAAAACCATGAGGCGGGCGGGCGGGAAGTCAATTAGCTCATATTAGCTAAAAGTTAAGATAGCAAATAAGGGTGTATTTAAATACTGTAAAATGGAAATTCAATAAAATATTATATATATATATAAACATATACATATATATGCTATATTCCTGCTTGGCAGGGGGTTGGACTCGATGGCCCTTGTGGTCTATTCCAACTCTATGATTCTATGATTCTATATACTGTATATATATGTATATATATATGGGACAGCTCCCTAAGCTCCATCGACACTAAGAAGGTTTGAACAGCACTAAGGCTTACTTCTCCTGGAAACTAATTCAAGGTTAAGCTGGATGTCTCACCTTTTCACATGACTGTACATAACAGCCCCAGACTTTTTGGGGAGTCAACACAAGAAGAAATTGGATTTCAGCATGTATATGTAAGTGGGATGTGATTGCCTGTATGTGAGGAGAGCCATCTGTTTTGGGCAGGGGTTGGAGCCTGTGCCCTTCCAGATACTGTTGGACTACAACTCCCATTGGCCATGCTGGGTGGTGCTGATAGGAGTTGGAGTCCATGCAAGCAACCACTTGCAAATGGCTTTGTGAAAGAGCCTGGTGCATTTTCAGTAATGCTGCAAACATTGCAATATTTTGTTGAGACTGTAACTGACATTAGACATACATTCAGTTTCTTATGATATGCAGTATTTTATATGTTAATACAACATTTTGATATTATTTTTATTCAGTTGTTATTTTAAATGTGCACCTTGATCCCTCAGGATGAGGTGAGTTCATAACTGGCATAAAGAAATCAAAATTCAAAAATGCAATTTTGAGTCCCTAATGGAGGGCAATACAAAATGTTCTATAGGCACTGTAGTTTTATGTGGGAAAGGGGAGATGCATTTTCAATGGACTGATCAGTTGTTAGATCAATAAATTAAACATTTTAGCTGAGTAATAATTTGCCCCTGATTAATTGGACATATGCATGTGTGTGCTTATGATATTTAGAATTCCTGTGGCCCTCATTTGAGTTGCACTCACACAAAGTGCAGCAGTTGCATACATAGGCCCCATATGGAAGAGCCAATTCATATGACCAGGACTGCATGCATTGCTCCTCTGGCCCACATGCTCAACAGCCAGGGGTGCACTGGAAGAGGAATTCTGGGTAGTACTGCTCCATAATGCTTTTTAGAGCAGGGGTGGTGTCGGCCACCGCCACCGCAGCAGCAGCAGTGGTGGTGTCATCTGCTGGAGTGCCAGAGTAATTGATTACGGATTCTTCTTGCTCTGGCAAGTAAATGAGGTGATAACAAGGCTTTCAAGTTCTACTATGGGGAACCAGGCAGAGGGCCTTCTCAGTAGTGGCACCCACCCTGTGGAATGCCCTCCCATCAGATGTCAAGGAGATGAGTAGTTATATATCTTTTAGGAAACATCTGAAGGCAGCCCTGTATAGGGAAGCTTTTTAAGGTATAATATTTTACTATGTTTTTATATATGCTGGAAGCCGCCCAGAGTGGCTGAGGCAACCCAGTCAGATGGGTGAGGTACAAATAATACAACATCATCATTATTGACATATTTGCACAAAGGAAGTGAGCGAATGAGATCAACTTAACATTTTATGACTGTCAGCTGGTTCTTATGTCAAATGCATAAATGAAGCTCCTTGCATTTTTCTACTCTCCTTGGCAGTGTAGCTATAGAAGCTATCATGATCAACTTCTGTACATCAGAAAGTATCCCTTCACTACAGCAGGCAGCATCCCTATATATGCTTTCCTGCAAACAATTGTGATGGACCACTCTGACCTTCGGCTGTGGTGGAGCAAAGTCTTTAACCTGTGAACAAGGAAGCATAATGGCCAAAGATGTCATTCAAAAACAAACAAACATGCTGCCCATCTGACTAGGTTGCCCCAGCACAACAATGATAAAACCACAATAAAACATCAAACATTAAAAGCTTCCTTATACAGGGCTTCCTTCAGATGTCTTCTAAAAGTCTGATAGTTGTTGTCAAATAAAGTGAGAGCAGGAAGGGGAAGGGCTGGAGCTCAGCGGTCGAGCATCTGCTTTGCATGCAGAAGGACCTCCAGGTTAAATCTCCAACATATTCAGGCAGGGCTGAGAGAGAACTCTGACTGAATTCTGGAAGAGCCACTGCTAGCCACTTGAATCAATCCCGAGCTAGATGGACCATTTATCTGACTTGGTATAAGCCAAGAGAAAAGATGACCATATGAAGCAGAGGTTGGATGGCCACCTCTCATGGGTGCCTTAGCTGAGATTCCTGCATTGCAGGGGGTGGGACTAGATGGCCCTTGGGGTTCCATGAAACTTTTTATCCATGTTTGAATTATGGGAACAAGGAAGGGGGC